CCAGAAGGCACTGAAGGTATAGGGCAAACATGGGGACCTCAATGATGTTCACACCCTTATCATCATAGCTCCATCAAGGAGCTCAGCTTCTAGTCTCTGTGTCTCTCAGCCAAACATTCTAAATTCCTGAGACAGAGAACACACTGAACACAGCTCCAGTCAGATGACCACCATTAATGGGGACTGTGGGGAGGGAAGCTCTACAGTACAGGCATGAGCGGAGGGGGCCACCTCTGTGAGTAGGGGCAGCTTGCAGAGAAGGGGGGCTTTGTTGAGCTGGTGAGTCACACCTAAAAGTGACTGTTACGAACATATTTGTTGAACAAATAAATGGAATGATGAAATGACCTCATTTTAAAAAGAGTAACAGGGGCCGGTAGTTCAATGGTAGAGTGCTTGCAGAATATGTGCAAGGTCTGGGTTTGATCCCCAGCACACACACCCACACACACCCACACACCCACACACACACAAACAAAATATCCCCCCAAACTGTCCAAAGCTATCAGCTAGGAATTATGGTGTTATTTGAAAACTCTTTCATTCCATTATTCTCAATATGCAATCCATCTCTACGCCCTAATGAAACTTTCTTCCCAACATTACTCCAATCCTTCTCTCCCCTTTATTCTATTACTCCACACAGTTTGCACTCGGGCCTGGTTATTCTGCTGCCTTCCCTACTATTCCATGCTGCTGACATTGCCAGAGTAATCTTCCCCAAACACAAGGCTTTTGTTACCAGCTATCACTCAATTTGTCTGAAACCAAACACATCCTTTATTTAGATTGATTTTTCCCTTGAGCAGGTTGTGGAGATACACACCTATGATCCCATTTACCACAGAGGTTGAGGCAGGAAGTTCAAGGTCAACCTGGGCAATGTAGCAAGACCCTGTCTCGATATAAAAAGTAAAGAGTGGCTGGGGTTGTGGCTCAGCGGTAGAGCACTCACCTAGCATGTGCGAGACGCTGGGTTCGATCCTCAGCACCACATAAAAGTAAATAAATAAAATAAAAAGATATTGTATCCAACTACAACTAAAAAATATTAAAAAAAGAAAATAGAGCCGAGGATGTATCTAAGTGGTAAAACAAACCTGAGTACCAAATAAATATAAAGCACTCCCATATTTCTCCATCATTTAGTCCTTAAAACCTCAGAATTGCTGGGCATGGTGGCTCAAATCTGTAATCCCAGCAATTTGGGAGACTGAGGCAGGAGATGACAAGTTTGAGGCCAGCCTCTGAAATTTAGTGAGACTCCAAGCAACTTACTGTAGCTCAGTGGTGAAGCACCCCTGGATTCAATCTCCAATACCAAAAAAAAAACCTTCCAGAATTACCTCTGAACTTTTGCCCTCTTAGTCCCTCAACTTTCTTGTTAGTTAACAAGCACTGTTGACTTTTCCTTTGTTTACCTCCTTGGTTGGTCCTTTCCATTTGCATCTCTGGACTAACTCTGGTCTGTCAGGGAGTTCAGCATCTTTTTTTTTTTTGGTGGTGGTGCTGGGGATTGAACCCAAGGCATCGCATATGCTAGGCAAGTGCTCAACCATTGAGATATATCCCTATGCCCTCAAAGTATCTTTCAAGAACTGATATGAAGATGGTATGGAGATAATATTTGGCTGGGTGTCTGGGAATGCCCCATTCCTGCCCACTCAGGATATGGGGAAGAATAACAAGGAACCCCATACATCATCCCTGGGGAACCTTTTCTTTTAAAGGTGCTACCCCAGGAAAATGGAACTTACTCTACATTCTCCAATTTCAGCAAAATTTTCTTCATGTGTGCCTGTGTAGTGGGGTAGAGGAGTAGCGTTTCTTGTTTACCATCCTGTGTCTATCCTGTCTCCACATTAGGGGGTGTAAGGAGGCAGAGAAGCTGGGAGCCCACTAGATAACCAGAAGCTCAACTCATATTTGTATTCCCTGGTGAGTCTACATTATCATGATCTTAGTCTTTGCTCAAAATTGTCAAAAACTATCTGTTGGACTGAGTTAAGCACCATTTTTCATGGAGGTCATGAGGACCCATGTGCAAATTTTTTGTCATTAGTGTGGCTTTAGGACTATGGCAGATGGAGAACAGGTCTGTCAAATTAATTGTCCAGTGACAAGATCAGTTGAATTTAATTAAGAGGTGAAGAAACCTGGGTGCAGTTTACCAGAATGTCATCAACCTCATAACCTTGTCAGTAAGTCCAGAAAGAACTAAGTAAGTAACCATAAGAATCTAATTGTAGGACAGGGTCTTGGAGAACCCTGTAGACACATCATCTATAATATAGGAGACCTGATGTTTTCACAGCAACGGCAGACTCTCTCTGATGCAATTCAGCCAAAAATCTCTGGCTGAAAGGCAGCCTCAGCCTGATAAGCTAAGAATTCCCATTTTCCTGCAGAGGTTAACCTGGTCAGTTTGGGGGCAGTAACCTCAATTTTCTTGAGAGGATAAACATCATTTAATCCTAAGGAGGTTCAAAATTAAATATAAGAATGGTGAATAAATCAAGTCCACAGTATGCATACTCTTCTTGTGTTAATGTTGGTCATATTCTGTGCAGTTTGGTATTTTCAATGTTTGTACCATTTAGAGAATTTATCATATTAGAGAATCTGACCAAGAGCCTTGTGGAGTTTGATGTTTTCTATTTCTTTTATGAAACATTGGTCATGACCAACTAAATTACTTTTGTGCTTCACGAGTGGGTACTGTTCTGCAATCTGAAAGCCCCTGGTGATGGTTAAAAGTGTAATGTTGAGGTCAGGCTGATGGCTTTCAGAATGGCTCCACCTCTTACAATCTGGGGTTGGGCAAGTAACCTCTACATGTTCTTGTTTCTCTCCCTGAAAATGAAGTGAGGAGGGTGATAATATGTCTATTAGTGCAAGTACTGGGTGTGATGAGGAAAGGGCCAAAAGAGGGAATGCTTCCTGAGAGAAATGGAATTAATGTTGAGACCTGAAAGAGTAGTAGGAATTATTCAGATGAAGGTTCTAGTAGGTAAGAAAAAAGTGCAGAAGGCTGTGGGTAGAAGGAGCAGTCCTTGCAAAAGTTGTGAAGTGGCAGAATTCTTAGACTCATATGACCTGAGAGCATCCCAGTTTGATGAGAGAGATCTGTGGCAGATGAGGTCACTAAGGGCCCCAAAGGCACCTCAAAAGAATTCTAGAGGTTAACTTAAGTGTAATGGGATCTCATAAATCATTTTAAACAGGGAAATAACATGATTTTCTTTTTTAATCTTTTATGATTTTTTGTTTCGTTTGTACTGCTGGGGATCAATCCAGTCTCACCCAGGGTCTTGTGCATACCAGGCAAGGACTCTACTTCTAAGCTATACCCGAGCCTTTGATTTACTATTTTGAAAGACTGCCAGCTGCCAGCAAAAGACCATTCAAGCTATAGTGTGGAGAATGGATAGGAGAGGGCAATTCCAGAAACAGGGGGACCAAGAAGAGTCTATCCACCAGAGAAGCCAGCATCCTGAACCATGGTAAGAAGTGGCAGAGAGAAAATTTAAAAGCTCAAATTGTCTGGGAGGACCTGAGCAAGAGAGGAAGGGATAATGGATCATTCCCAGGTTTCTGATTTGAGCATCTGGGTAGTTGATGGTGACACTCACTGTCTTAGAAAACCCAAGATAAAAGCACATTCAACTTTTAAAATTTTCTGTGCTGGGGTGAACCCAGGGTCTTGTACTTGCTAGAAGAGTATTCTACCACTGAGCTATACCCCAGCCCAAGATATTTCATTTTGGGATGTTAGATTTTGAGGAATTGAAATCTTCTTGAAAATGTATGCTTCTTAATTTTGTTAAGCTGTTTTCTGATACCTGTAGGATGTTAAGTCCCTAATACTATGGCTCTTGCACTATGATATGCATAAAAATCACCAGGCGTGGATGGCTTAGGGATGTTAAAAATGCAGGTTCTTGACGCAGTGGAGCTTGCCTGTAATCCCAGTTACTCAGGAGGCGGAGGCAGGAGGATGACAAGTTCTAGGCCAGCCAGAGCAATTTAGCGAGACCTTGTTTTAAAATAAAAAATAAAAAGGACTGGGGATGTAGCTCAGTGGTAGAGCTACATTCGATTTCCAACGTGGGGGCGGGGGAAGGAGAAAAATGCTGGTTGGTATGCTAACGAGCCAAGATTCTAACGATACCAATTGGGGATCTACGTTTAAACCACGAGTCTGAGTGATTCTTATGGAGGTGGTCTCCTGCTTACTTTTAAAACAAACAACAAAACTACTCCTCATGTCTCCAAAATCAGGTTGTGCTCCCACTGTCCATTCATTTGTCTGGCACTTGCTTGGGGGATCCCAATTGCTTCGTATAAAACTACATGAGAGCAAGAGCAATGACGTTATTTATTTATTTATTTTTAGTATTTTGCGTTGATAATAGGTGTATCTTAAGCGCACCCAGAACAACATTCGGCACATAAAGGGTTCCCTAGAAATGTTTGCTGAACGAATGAGTGAATAAATTTTATTATCTTGCTTTGTATAAAAACTTTTGCTTTTAAATATCTGGGTAGGGCTTGAAAAGTCACTGCGAAGAGAGGGTGAGGGTGCAAATGGCCCGACAAAGCGGAGAAAAGTGCGAGAGTGAATGCCTTTCCGATCGTCCTGACACACTCCGGAGGTCCTAATTCCTCGGGCTGGGGGCGAGAGATGACACTCTTTTCAGATCAGCAACCATTTTATGCTTCATGCACCCCTTCTCTGCGGCGACCACGTTTTGTTCATCCAGTCGCTTTCATGGTTCCGGCCCCAGACAAACGTATGCAGTGACAGGAGACTTCAAGGAGTAGGCGGGGAGGACGCCAGAAACCTAACCGAAAGCCCCCTCCCCAACCAGGCGCGGAGGAGCAGCGCCGACCTCCCCATCATGGCGGCCGCGGGCGGGGAAGCCGAGCCGTGCGTCGCGTGCGTGCCTCCTCCCTCCCCTCCCCCTCCTCGGCGGCGGCCGCGGCGGCAGAGGCGGCAGCGCTCGCCATTGCCGCTGGTGGCAGGAGGCTGCGAGGAGCCGGCGCGGTCGCAGTCTCCACGGCGCAGGCCCACGGTAGCGCAGCCGCTCTGAGGTGAGTGCCCTACCGCGCAATCTCCAGCTATTTCAGCCCCGGCGCAGCCGCAACACGCCGCCCGCCCGCCGGCCGGCCGGCCCGCCCCGCAGCCGGCACCCTGCCGCCCCCGGCTCCGGGCCTGGGCCCCCGCTGGATTCTGCCCGCCTGGGGCTGGGGGCCCCGGCCCGGCCCAGTCAAACCGCCACCCCGAGGATGCGCAGGCCGCACTAGGCCCCAGGCGTCCTGGCGGGCTCGGGAGGGAGGCGCTGCCCTCCAGATAGCTCCAGGGTTCCGGCCTGCCCTGCCACCCGAGGCTCTCGGGGCCGCGGCCTCCTCCCCGTGGTGGAACCCAGAGCCCGGCCTTCCCGCGGGCTCGGGAGCGGGCGGCCCGGGAGAGCGCGCCGGGCCCGGGAGCGGGAGGTGGGCGGGCTGCGCGGGACCGGAGCCGCGGCTCGGCATTCGCCCCCTGGGCCCTTCCCTGGTCTCGTTCGCTGGCGGCACGGCCCGGCGGGACCGGGCGGGGCGCGGGAGCTGCTGTCTCCTGCGGGAGAAGAGGCTGGCTGAGCTGACGACCTCCGAAGCTTCCCTCCCGCCGGGGTGGCGTGGGCTTATTACCCAGGTGGACTGGGGGACGCTGGAATATGGCGCGTTGCCCACCTTCTTGCAAGTTGTTAGGAGGCGGCCCAGGCGGCAGTTCGAGGAGGAGGGCGCAAAGTCCTTTTGTACGCAGAAATAAGGAGCGACATTGTGTTTTTTTCCCCAGCGGAGATGTGACCGTGGCGGGGTCTCGGTTCTTCCTGTGCCTGGGGTGGTGGTCTCTTGGGTAAGGGAGCGGGGAGTGGCGCGCCCCTCCTAAGGAACCGAATTTTTGCCACTGGAAAGACGGGGCTCGGAGATGGTCTTGTGCGTGGTATTATTACCGTATTCCCAGCCTTTTGGGGGAATTCGAGGGTTTGCCGTTGCGTGTTATGCACTTCACTGTACCGTGATGTCCACCACTTCTCTCACCTGTTGTGTTGTTGCTTCTGGTCCCAAAGTTTCTACTGTGCATCTAACTGTGCCCACCAAAACTTGAAGTTATTTTAAAATCTTGATGTATTTAGGGCTTCAAATGATATCTGCCAACCAGTTGGAGGAGCTGTTGCCTGTTCACCTTCCCTTCTTCCAATCATTAAGTTAGAATACTGTATATTAATTGTTTGCTCTAGAGCTGGTGTCAGTTGTGCTGAATTCTTTTTGTGGTCATAGCAAAATTCACATATTAAAAAAGCGTTTAAAGGATATCATTGCATTGGGAGAAAGGTAGTGTGAGTGAGCCTGTCAACCTGGACGGTGTTCAATAGTATGGGTACAGCTTTTGTAACAGGGCATCTTCTGTGCTCACAGTGGTCCTTTTCCCGTTCTATCTCAGCCTTGTCTCTTAAAAAATTACTATTATTATTATTATTAGGCCTTGAACAATAGGTTATTGGATTCTTCTTCACTCAGGGAAAGCTTTGGAGATGTGTGTGTGTTTTGGTTTCTTAATTCAGTAGTATCCTGACTCCCTAGAATTGTTTGAAAGTTCCTGACAAGTTATCCTATAAATTAGTGAAAATTTGACTAGTTTTATCTGTGTATCTGAATGTAATTTCCTTGTGAGTGCAAAAGGCAACATACAATTACCATATGTAATGTAGTTTATTTAACTCTTGGCTCCTAAATTGTGTGCAGAATTTTTTGTGTCTGGGGACTCCTCCTGCCCCATTTTTCTTTGGTGCTGGGGATCATGCTCAGAGCCTTGGGGCATGCTAATGTTATACCACAGAGCTGCACTCCCCAGCCCTTTTTTTCTTCTGATAGTACACTTTCTTTCAACAGGGTCTTTGACGAAAACAAACAAAACAAAAATCTGATTAGAATAACTGTTTATTTAATCCTTTGGCTCACCTTATTTGCAATATCATAGTCTCAACACTCAGCATAAAGAAGGGAAAATGACCTTTTGCTTAATAGTGAGTAGTCCATATTCTCATTTAGAGGGAAAAAGAAAAAAAAATCTCACGCAAATAATTTATTGCTGTGTTTTAAGGAAATGTAGCTTCTGGAGTTAGTTACAGTCACCTAAGGGACTATAGGAGTTATGAATGTCCTTGTCCAGATACAGAGGGAATAAAAGCAGAAAGGATTTCAGTTTTTCCTCCCAATTCATGTGTAGTCCAGTGGAATCCAAAACTGGAGTTTTTTTGTTTTTTTGTTTTATTAAAGCATAGTTATGCAACCATTGCTGTTTTAGGTAGGGTGTTGAAGGCCCACTTCCTACAATTAAAATACGAGTTTACATTGCCTGTACACCAGATTTAACCAGACCTCTGGGTTGTTTTCAAGAAGCATTTTAAGTGAAGTACCCAAAAATGGGTGACTGAGAAATTAAGCTTTTTGTCTAGGATTAATTTTTTACAACTTTTCTTATATGTAGTAAGGCATTCAGTAAATGTTTGTTGGGGAACAATAATGATGAATGACAATTATTGAAATTAAGCTTTTTTCATAAGTATTTGAAAAGGCATGATGAATTTTTGGTTTGGTGGGAGGGCTATGAACCTTAGCCTTCAGAAGCACACACTTCAGGAAGTTAATGTGTATGTCAACTTCTGTCAGATGTCTTTAGACAAGCCCTGTGCTTGATGCTGAAGCAGGCTTATTCATCTACTCCAGGTTGAAGGGTGAGGGGAAATTGTGGGTTGTTGAGTTTCACAAATACCTACTCTAACCTCAAGAGTTTATATGCATCCTTTCTGGGTCTGTAATCAAGGCCAGTCCAGGAAATGGGATATTTGAGAATTGAGATGTGTATGTGTGACTATATATGATGCTTATTAACATATAGAAATAGTATTTGGAAAATCCATTTTACAAAATATCATTCTTTGGTTTCGTAAAAAACATTTCAGAAACTGTTCAATGCTAAGGACGTTTTCTTTCAGCTCTTTCATGTTTTCCTTGAGAGCTAAGGCTAGTGTTTTCAGCCTAAGCTTACCCATGAATGTTGAGTAAAATAGCCATGAAAAAGAAACCCACTTGTTAAATTTCTTTTAGAAACATTTTATTTAGTCCAAGTCCAGTGTTTTTTGAGTCTCTGGATACATATTAATTTTTGTGTTATGTATCATATAGTTACTTCTTTATTAACTAGAGGGGTGCATTATCCACTTTGTTGGGTGTTCAGTTTAGTGCTTTTATCCATCAGTATTTTAAGGTGAACAGGCTAGAAGAGAAATAATAAAGGTAAAATCTATTTTGGTGTTTGCAAATTACAACCACATTGAGTTATTGGAAACTTTTAATCTCAGAGTAACAAAAATGTTTTGTTTGAGATTATTGTTTTAAATATTTTTTTAGTTGTTGATAGACGTTTATTTTATTTATGTATTTATATGTGGTGCTAAGAATCGAACCCAGTGCCTCACACATGCCAGGCAAATGCGCTACTGCTGAGCCACAACCCAGCCCTGTTTGAGATTATTTTATGTAGCATGGACAAAACTTGAATAATGAGTTTTAGACTGCTCAAGGAAAATAATGGGATTATATATATATATATCTTGGAATATATATATTTTTCTAAAGTGCAGTTCAGAGTTAGGCTAATGTGTTTTCAACTTCATGCAATGCAATTTAGTTGCTGAGATATTAAAAAGGTTTCATCCTGTGTTCTTTTTTTTTTTTTTTTAAGCAGGTTACAGGTTTATTTTTTAGTTTTTTGGTGGACACAACATCTTTGTTTGTATGTGGTGCTGAGGATCGAACCTGGATCGCATGCATGCCAGGCGAGCGCGCTACTGCTTGGCCACATCCCCAGCCCTCATCCTGTGTTCTTTATGCCTAAAATGTTCTAAATATGTGCATTTATGTGATATCAAATTAAACCTATGCACTGAAGAAATGCCAGAAATACAGCTGTTTAAGATGATTGAGTATATTAAGGAACAAAATTAGTTGCAGTTGTGGCAGGCCTACTACATTTGTGATCCTTTGAGGCAAATCTGTATTCTGTCACTGATATCAGTCACTTACTTAAAAGAGATAATTTGACCATGAGGGATCTTCTGAATCCCAGACTGAGACATCTGCTTTGGCCAACCACAAATGGTTTAAAATTCCACCTGCACCAAACCATCAGGCAATTTCTTTAAGAAGCCATGTCTTATAAAGAAGGTATGTGTGTATTGAGGAAGGGTTGGTGGGGAGAAGAGGGAAAGGGAAAGTGATATCTGATTTAAAAAAAATTGGTGGGGATATTTGAAAAAAAAAATTGTAGTTGTAGATGGACAGAATGCCTTTATTTTACTTGTTTATTTTTATGTGGTGCTAAGGCTCGAACCCAATGCCTTGTACGTGCTAGGCAAGGGCTCTGCCACTGAGCTACAGCCTCAGCCTAGGGTGAAGATATTTTTAAACCTACTTTAATCATTTTGGTGATTTAGAGTATCTCTTGTTTGTGGTAATTGCATTTTTTATTATATAAGCATTGTATTTAATTGGGGTATGCTGGTTTCTGTGGTTAGAAATGTGAAAAGTTTGATAATTTAAGTGGACATTATCTTAAGATTTCTTAAAGTGGTGCCTGTTGGATAAACTATATGGGCCTTTTTAAGGCATCTTTGTGAAGGACTTCAAATGCTTGTATGTTAAGACCTTTTTTTTTTGAGAGCTTGTATTTTACTGTTGCTAGTTGTAAAGTCTTTGCTCTTTAGAACTTAGTCTGTTTTGTTGCTGCTCCTGAATGCTAATGTGGTTAGGCTGGCAGCTAAACCTACAAATAACAAGAGGAAATTAGGAAATGTCCCCATGAAACATTGCTTAAAGCTATTAAAGCAGTGGACTAGAAATGGGGAGCTAGGGATCAGGAGACCTAATTTTTGTTTTGTGTTCAGAAGAGAGTGAGGCATACCCTCCATTGAGAAATAACCTCCATAAGTGTGTCCTTTTTTTAGAGTTTTGCTTCATTTACCAGACATTGATTAAAGACATTGAAC